ATTGGGCAGAGATGGGAGGCTGTTTCTCTGTCTCGTTGTCATGTGATCAAGTGGTGAATCAATGCTCTCAATGCTTTTGTGTCAAGGTGAGTTATATTCACAACCTCGCCGAGAATCTAGCGTCTCTCGAGAAAGCCATGGGAGTTCTCAAGGCGAAGAGAGATGATGTGCAAGGAAGGGTAGACAGAGAAGAGTTTACAGGGCGTAGTCAAAGGCTTTCTCAAGTCCAGGTATGGCTTACGAATGTCCTCACCGTTGAAAACCAATTTAATGATCTTGTTAGTACTAGTAAGCTCGAGCTTCAAAGGTTGTGTCTCTGTGGATTTTGCTCTAAAAATGTGAAAATGAGCTATCGCTATGGGAAAAAGGTTATCATGGAGTCTTAGTTCTCATGGAGAATTTGATGCGATGACTGAGGAAGTTCCAAGAGCTGAGGTTGAAGAGTTGCCTATTCAACCCACAATTGTTGGTCAGGAAACATTGCTCGAAAAGGCATGGAGCCGTCTCATGGAAGATAGAGTCGGGATTGTTGGTCTGTATGGTATGGGCGGAGTAGGGAAAACCACCCTTCTCATGCAGATCAATAATAAGTTTTCTGGAATAGGTGGCGGATTTGATATCGTGATATGGGTTGTGGTGTCTAAAAATGCAACAGTCCATAACATTCAAGAAGACATCGGTGGAAAATTAGGCCTTGTGGGGAAGCAGTAGGACGAGAAAGCTGAAAACCAAAGATCCCGTGACATCTACAACGTTCTTAGGAGGAAGAAGTTTGTGTTGTTGTTGGATGATATATGGGAGAAAGTGGATTTAAATACGATTGGGGTCCCATATCCAAACAGAGAAAACGGATGCAAAGTAGCATTTACCACCCGCCCTCGAGATGTGTGTGGGCGCATGGGGGCTGATGACCCGATCCAAGTCAGTTGTCTGGACACGGACAATGCCTGGGATTTGTTCAGAAATAAAGTCGGGGAAAACACACTAGGAAGCCACCGAGACATTCCCAAACTCGCAAGAAAAGTCGCTGGGAAATGTCGTGGCTTACCATTGGCACTCAATGTCATCGGTGAAACTATGGCGAGCAAAAGCACAATACAAGAGTGGCATAGGGCAATTGACGTTTTGACTTCATCTGTCGCAGATTTTTCAGGCGTGGAAGATGAGATTCTTCCAATTTTGAAGTATAGCTATGATAGTTTAAATGGTGAGCAGGTGAAATCATGTTTCCTTTATTGCTCTTTATTTACCGAAGATTATGTTTTCAGAAAAGAGAGATTGATAGAGTACTGGATAGGTGAAGGGTTTATAGATGAAAACAAAGGTAGAGAGAGGGCATTAAACCAGGGTTATGAGATACTTGGCACCCTTGTCCGTTCATGTTTGTTGTTGGAGGAAGAAAATAAATCAAATTTCAAAATGCATGATGTGGTACGGGAGATGGCCATTTGGATAGCCTCGGATCTCGGAAAGCATAAAGAGAGATGTATTGTAGAAACTGGTGTTGGCTTATGTGAAATACCGAAAGTGAAGAACTGGAGGAATGTGAGAAGAATGTCATTGATGGAAAATGAGATTGACTGTCCTGACCTCACAACTCTCTTCCTTCAGAAAAATAAATACTTGGTAACAATCTCAGGTGAATTCTTTCGGTGTATGCCTAGGCTACGCCTTTTGGATTTATCAAGGAATAAAAGTCTCTGTGTATTGCCAGAGCAAATATCAGGGTTGGTTTCTTTGAGATATCTTGACCTGTCATGGACAAAGATAGAGCGACTACCAGTTGGTTTACAAGAGTTGAAAATGCTAATTCAATTGAATTTGGAGTCCACACACAAGCTTGAGAGTCTACAGGGGATATCAAATTTGTCAAGTTTGAGGACACTAAAACTACGACATTCCAAAGTATGGCTAGATATGAGCCAATTGAAGGAGTTGCAGCGTTTATTACATTTAGAGTTTATAAGCATAAATACCTCATCAAGTTTGGTTGGGAAGCTATTGTTATATGATCCTAGAATGGGGAGATGTATTCAACAAGTTGCTATTATGGAGCGTCCGGAAGAATCAGTAAGTGTATTAGTTTTGCCAGCTATGGATAAACTGGGTAAAGCGTCATATGGGATTGTGGAATGAGGGAGATAAAGATAGAGAAGACACCATGGAACAAGAGTCTGACAAGTCCATGCTTCTCGAACCTTTCTCATGTGCTAGTATCAGGGTGTCATGGTTTAAAAGACTTGACGTGGCTGCTGTTCGCTCCAAACCTTACTGAACTTAGACTTTCGAGGTTAACTCAACTAGTGGAGATAATAAGCAAAGAGAACTCTACGAGTGATATTATCCCTTTCCAGAAACTAGAATTCCTTTAGTTGCGAGAGTTACCTAAGCTGAAGAGCATCTACAGGAATGCTCTGCCTTTTCAAAGTCTGAGACGTCTCCACATAAACGACAGTTGTCCGAAGCTGAGAAAGCTTGCATTGGATTCTCAAAGCATTCTCAAGGTTGAAGAATTTGTCATAGAATACAGGAGACAAGAATGGATAAAAGGGATTGAATGGGAGGACGAAGCCACGCGACATCGTTTCTTATCTTCATGTAAGCTGCTTTGAGTAGGCTCATAACCCAAATTATTGTTCTGTTTTTCTCTTTCTGAAACTGCATCAGCCTTCTCTGTTTTTTTTTTCGACCTCTGTTTCTTTATGTACTGTATTATGTTTTCAGTTCTGAATATTCTTTGAACTCAGCCCCTTAAATTTAATATGT